CACAGTGATGCATCTCTGCACGCACGGGTTGAGATTCGGCACGTCTGCGCATGTGCGAAGCACGATTTAGCGCTTCTGTGCATGTGCGACCGCTGAAACCCAGAAGTAACCAGTTCTGGTACTACCGGGTTTCGTTGGTCCGCAACCCGAAAAAACGCAACCTGAAGTGTCTGTAACCCGAGGTATGACTGTATAGTAAGATCCAACAGGATGTCTTCTGAATTTTAGAAACAGGGTACAGTGGTGCCTCGCAAGACGAAATTAATTTGTTCCGCGAGTTTTGTCGTCTTGTGATTTTTTTCGTCTTGCGAAGCACGGTGTCGGGAAAGTTTTGGAAAAGCTTCAAAAATCACCAAAGTCTTAAAAAACCTCAAAAAAGGCTACCACACCGCGTTCTATGAGTTGCTCCTCGAAGTCAAGTCACAACTGTATTAATGGTGTTAAGAAAAAGGAAACAAACTTGCAAGACGTTTCCGTCTTGCGAAGCAAGCCCATAGGGAAAATCGTCTTGTGAAGCAGCTCAAAAAACAAAAAACCCTAGCGAGTTTTTTGTCTTGCGAGGCATTCGTCTTGCGAGGTACCACTGTATGTGTATTGCATATGATTTAGTTCAGTGGTTTCCTATCTGGACAGAATTCTGAGAAGGCTAAGTGCCCTCAGGGCCTATGGAAATTAATAGGAACAGTTAAGCTTGCAGATAAAAACGTATTTGTCTAGCGCAGGCTTCCGTTGAGCATGTATTGTTGCCTGCCCAGGGCTTCACCCTCTCGTTTCTGCAGCCTGAGACAGAAATTCAACATCTTGGGGAGGTGTGCAAAAATGCAGTGCACTCCACATGGTAATTGCAAATTGAGTGGGCTGGGCCTAGAAAACTGAGCCTTGAATGGCCAACATCAGAAATAAACCAGGATATCTAACTTACCCACATTGTGTAAACCCTTGATTGAATTATTTGCATGCCTTTGACGACCTTGGGGGATAATCTGGTAACTATTACTAGAGTTGAGTGCTGCCCTTGGATTTCACGTCCTTCAACGTTTCACACATGGAAATAAGAGCATTTCTGAGTACTGGCAAGACCCTTATTCCATACCATGAGTTGCTTCCTGAGGCTCTCCCTCCCGCCATACACTTTGCTGAAAGCTTTTCTCTCCCAGCAGTACATTATATTCATTAGGAGTGAGCGCTGGCTGTACAATTCACCTTATATCTGTAGCATTGCAGCCCAATTTGTCTCGGATCCACTCTGCGTATTTCCGATTTGTCTTGTTATGTGAGTCTCAGTTTGACTTGTTAAATCTGAAGCTCTGTTTTGCCTCCTCTGCTTAACTATTACAGGGAATTTGGGGCAAATGCATGTGGCCCGCTGCTCTTAAAATGCTCTGCTCACGGCCAGAAACACAGGCGAGACTTAGCTATATACAGGATCCCACTGAACTCACTGACTCCAACATCCCCCCCCAAAAAAATAATCATATTGTATCTTGGGAAGATAAGGACCCCTGACCATTAGTCCAGTCATGGCCGACTCTGGGGTTGCGGTGCTCATCTGGAGGGCCGAGGGAGCTGGCGTACAGCTTCCAGGTCATGTGGCCAGCATGACTAAGCCGCTTCTGACGAACCAGAGCAGCACACAGAAACGCTGTTTACCTTCCCGCCAGAGCGGTACCTATTTATCTACTTGCACTGGTGTGCTTTTGAACTGCTAGGTTGGCAGGAGCTGGGACCGAGCAATGGGAGCTCTCAGGGATTTGAACCGCTGACCTTCTGATCAGCAAGTCCTAGGCTCTGTGGTTTAACCCACAGCGCCACCCGTGTCCCTATCTTGGGAAGATATTTCCCTGCAATTAAAACCTAGATCTTTCTACCAAAATGCCCCACCTCTCCAGCCTTTTCCTCGCTTGTGCTTAGGATGTTTTTCGCAACAACTTGGCTTCATTTCAGAGAAGGGGAAACACAGTGGTCTTGAATCTTTCTTTTGAGCACCCAAATCCACAGAACCTGTAGGAATCTGCTCATCAGTTGCAATAATTTTTGGGGGCCATTCTCTGCGTTCCACCACCAACAGAGATGTGATGGGCAGAAATGCAGGACAGAGCTTTATAGGGACAACACCTTCACTGTGTAATTCCTTCCCAAGGTTAGCACGACCCATTCTCAGATATCTTTTAGATGGGCAGTTAAGACATTTTTATTCTGCCAGACTACTTGCGCTGCATTTTAACCTTGTGAGCTATAGATTTGTTTTGCTTGATTTTAATTGTACTGAAATTTTAGGCCACTCTAAATGTCATTTTTATTGTACATTCATGATGATTTGTGCTAATGATGTTATTGGGATGCTCATATACAATCCTGCTTTCAATTCTGTTTGAAAAGGTTTCGGGTGGCTGCACTGCTTCATTTCCAGTCAATGCATATCCTATAACTTTCAGTTCTTTGTGACTCTTTCAGGGTTGTGTTTAGGTTTCAACTTCTCTTTCAACTTTTTCTAGCTTTCCTATAGAGTTCCTCCCTATGAGAGATATCTATATCTATATCTATATCTCTCCATGAACTTCACCTCCCACCCACCTTCTCTCCTCAGTCACATCTCAAAAACCTTTGCAGCTCATTAGCAACACTGGCTTATTGAAGACTTGCCAACAACATCCATGCATGACTCTCCAGGGGTCTATTTTTATCCTGTAGCTTTTCCCAGTATTGCCTGCATGACCTCTTCAAATAGCCATTGTCTTGCTTGTGTGAATTCCCAGTTGCACTGGTGATCTGTACTGTTTACATTAGTAACACCACTTGCAAAGTCACTCTTAGCAACCTATTGGATTGGTGACCTTTGGCTCTTGACCGTTTAAAACTTCTACTATTCTGAAGTATTTCTTTGGTGCCGAACACTGTGTTAGGAATGGAAAAGGTGTCTGGGTGTTGTGGCACCAACCCAGCCTGATCTTCTACTCTTAACTGCTATGGTAGAAGAAGGATTACATTTCACCTACTAGAGGGACATCCTACAAAAGGCAAATAGGAAATAAAACAATAAGTGCTGGCTATAAAATGCTCCCAGTCTACTTCTAGGTTGCTGGCCTCATCAAACACTGCAGACCTTCCAAGTGTCTCTATTTTCCAGGGACAATCCCAGATTTACAGAAGCCGTCCCAGTTTGGAATGTCTCACTTTTCCTCAGGATCTCCCTATTTTCATCGGAGAAATGTTGGAGGGTATGGAGTTAGCCGACCCCTGAGCCAAGGAGATAAATAACTATGCCACCTTTAGAAGACATATGAAGTCAGCCCTATATAGGGTAGCTTTTAAATGTTAAATGTTTTATTACGTTTTTATATATGTTGGAAGCTGCCCAGAGCGGCTGAGGTAACCCAGTCAGATGGGCATTATTATTATTATTATTATTATTATTATTATTATTATTATTATTAAATAAGGTAAAGGTAAAGGACACCTGGCAGTTAAGTCCAGTCGCAAACAACTCTGGGGTTGCGGTGCTCATCTCGCTTTACAGGCTGAGGGAGTTGGCATTTGTCCGCAGACAGTTTTTCCGGGTCAGAGCAGCGCACGGAAACACTGTTTATCTTCCCGCCAGAGCGGTACCTCTTTATCTACTTGCACTTTGACGTGCTTTCAAACTGCTAGGTTGGCAGGAGCTAGGAGCGAACAGCGGGAGCTCACCCCGTCGCGGTGATTCGAACCGCCGACCTTCCGATTGGCAAGCCCTAGGCTCAGTGGTTTAGACCACAGCGCCACCTGCATCCCTATTATTATTAAATAGGATGTCCCTATTTTCATCAGATAAATGTTGGAGGGTGCGACACTGTAGCTTCACATGATACACTGAAGCTTGCCAGTTCTTTCTCCTGGTGGATCACATTTAGTCTAAACTCTCGGCTATGACCTGTCCGTCTTGGGTGGCCCTGCACGGCATAGCTCATAGTTTCCTGGAGTTATTCAAGCCCCTTTGCCACGACAAGGCACTGATCCACGAAGGGACCTATTTTCCTTAGGATGTCCCTATTTTCATTGGAGAAATGTTGGAGGGTATGGAGTTATCCCAAGCTGTCTGACGGCAATCCTGTATAGGACAGTTTTTAAAAAAAGTTTAATGTTTTATTATGTTTTTATATGGGGACGCGGGTGGCGCTGTGGGTAAAACCTCAGCGCCTAGAACTTGCCTTATCGCATGGTCGGTGGTTCGAATCCCCGCGGCGGGGTGCACTCCCGTCGTTCGGTCCCAGTGCCTGCCAACCTAGCAGTTCGAAAGCACCACCAGGTGCAAGTAGATAAATAGGGACCGCTTACCAGCGGGAAGGTAAACGGCGTTCCGTGTGCTGCGCTGACTCGCCAGATGCAGCTTGTCACGCTGGCCACGTGACCCGGAAGTGTCTGTGGACAGCGCTGGCTCCCGGCCTATAGAGTGAGATGAGCGCACAACCCTAGAGTCTGGCAAGACTGGCCCGTAAGGGCAGGGGTACCTTTACCTTTACCTTTATGTTTTTATATATGTTGGAAGCTGCCCAGAGTGGCTGGGACAATCCAGTAAGATGTGTGGGGTATAAACAGTAAAATTATCATTATGGAATTGGGAGTCCCTATTTTCAACAGAGAAATGTTGGAGAGTATAAGCTTACTTGTTACAGAGCATCTCAGAAATGAATGGGAGTCCATCAAGAGTGAGCTTGGCTTCCTTGTGGTGCCTATTAATGTACAACAGAAGACCCAATGGATATTCTTTTCCTTAGCCAAAGAACATTAGTTCCACATGCAGTCACAAGGTTCGTATTTCTCCCTGTGTTGTGGGCACAATCACACCCACTTCCTGTGCTTTTAAGCTGTTGATGTTCTTTTTTTACAGTGGCAGAAATTATACGATCTCATTTGGATGCTGAATGATCTTGTCTTTTTTGAATCACGATGTTATTACATTATTTTTATGGGGTGGAGAGGGAATAAGAAAGAAAAGAGAAATGCTTCCATTTGTCCTGTTTCAGGATAAGGCAAGAATGGGACATTATCCTAGAGTGCAGAAGAAATGGCATTCCACAAGCTGCATATCTGAATAATGGTGTCGTAGATACTAACAAAATTTTGGACAAGGTTGAAAACAACTCGCCGCTCATTAAGAAGATTACCTTGTTGAATGAAACACAGAAAGAAAGAAACAAATTCATTTTTCACCTTTCAGGAGAACACTGGACAGTAAGTGGATAGAATATTTGGGTGGTGTGACACTTTGCCACAAATGAGATTGATATTAGAGGATTAAATAATCCCCCCCCACTTTTATATACCGTATTTTTCGCTCTGTAGGACACACCGGACCATAGGACGCACCGGACCATAGGAGGGGGAGAACAGGGGAAAAAAAATCTCCCCCTCTCTGCTCAGCGCCCCTTCAGCGAAGCGGCAGGAAAAACGGAGCCCCTTCCATTTCTCCTCCCACTTCACTGAAGGGGCACTGCACAGCTCTCCCCCTCTGCTCAGCGCCTCTTCAGTGAAGCGGGAGGAGAAATGGAGCCCCTTCCATTTCTCCTCCCGCTTCGCTGAAGGGGCGCTGCGCAGAGAGGGAAAACTGTGCAGCGCCTCTCCAGCGAAGCGAAGCCTGGAGAGCAAGATGGATCATTGTGCATCAACCCCTCTCGCTCTCCAGGCGGCTATCCGCAAACCTTCGGAGCGCAGCGGGAACTCCTGCTGCGCTCCGAAGGCTTGTGGATAGCTGCCTGAAGCCTCCGGAGCGTAGCGGGAGTTCCTGCTGCACTCCGGGGGCTTCAGGGGGCTTCAGCGAAAGCAATGCGAAGCTTCCGGAGTGAGGGGGGAACTCTCCCTCTGCGCTTCGGAGGCGTCTCGTTGCTATCACTGAAGCCAAGGAGCCTGCATTCGCTCCATAGGATGCACACACATTTCCCCTTCATTTTTGGAGGGGAAAAAGTGCATCCTATAGAGTGAAAAATATGGTAATCACATTGATCACAATTTATCAGAATTAGGTGTGCCAACATCCGTTGACTTCATTAGACTTAAGCATGCCTAAACTTTGTTGAATTAGAGCCTTTGCTTGTAGGCTTGCAACATTTTCTTCTCTAGACTTAAAAAAATAATGAATTGCAGTGCCTTGTGTAAAGCAAAAGTTAGCATGATACTACAGCAACATTCATACTTGAAAAATAAATAAGAAAAGGGATCAAAAGAAAAGCAGAAAAAATGAATGTGAAAATATGTTTAAAGGACACTTGAAAACTTATTATGACTGGCTTTTCAGAATTGTGCTTCCTGCCATGCATGTGGCTATAGACAGGCTTATATGGCATTTTAGTGCTTGGTTTACAAACCAGCTTATGATAGGAAGTGAAATTTACACAGGCTTCCTTTTGGCTCTGCTCTTCAATTCCCTCATGTTCTTCAGTAATCTTCAGAAGCCAGCAAGAAGCTGATAAATTGTTCCACAAAGACAGCCACTAGAAAACTCTAGTCTTCATCTTTAATAGGAAAGCAATATGGAAGTCCCCTGCATTTCCAACATAATTTAAAGGCAGGGTAGGCTGGAAAAATCTCCAGAGTAGCTTTCTACTACTGAAGGTTGCCCAAGAGAGAATGTGGCTGAAAAAGTCACAGGGGGAAACCATTCGTGGACATAAGCACTACTCAAACTTAATTCATCTCCAAAAGATGGCCCTGTTTTACAGCCAGTTCCAGGGCTGAGAATGTCCAACTCGAAGTGGCCTCTGGTGAGGTTGGGCAGGCCTATCTGGCTGTGTTGGCAGCACTTACAAACAAGGAGGGTGTCGGGTGGCCTGGGGAGAACTGTGCAGTCTGAATTCTGAGGCCCGGTGGTCTGAATTTGGGCTGAGATCTGGAAGGTTCCCTTTCCTGTTACATAACATAACATAAAATTTTATTATGGCCATAGGCCCATACAAGTAAAAACAACACATAAATAACAGCTTGTGCACGTGGGAAAAAACAGCCGCTAAAACACCACTATAACAATAAAATGCTATAAGATGGAATGGCATACTACGCCTTAATTAGCTTGGAGTGCTCCTTGGCGTCGCTTTTGGGTAAGGACAGCGACCAGGAACCTAGCCACTTTCAGGGTCGTGTGGGTATCCTTATCCTGCAAGATTTGGGCAAGGTGGAATTTTGGTGGGGTACCCTCTAGTTTCTGTATGATTGATCCCAACAAATTTGCCCGTGGCACATTGAACAAGGGGCAAGTGAACATAATGTGCTGGAGCGACTCCGGCGTCTCCTTATCACATTCGCACATGGCGGAGGCTTGGTCCTTTGAGAATCTATGTCTCAGGACATTGGAGGGAAAAACGTTAAACCTCGCTTTGGTGAAGGCCAGTCTATGGGCAACAGTCGAAAGGGAGGAGAGGTATGCTGGAACGCAGTAAGTTAAAGTGATACCAATGTTCTGGGGCGAACAAACACCTCCCCCCAGCGTATAATTTCGCTGTAAGTCGATGTCATCCAGTCTTTGGCAGATCAGTCTTTGAGCAGTGATTTGGTCTAGTTTTAGGGAATCTGAGGGAGAGATTCCATAACTCAGGAGTTTGGCATGAATTCTACTAGTCCAAAGGCTAGAGAATTCATCTCGCCATAAGCATTGGACAAGGTAATGGTTTGGTAATCTATGCCACAATGATAACCAATAGTTGAAGACTTGCTTCCACAGGCAAGTTTCTAAGGATGCGATCTTCAATTCTAGTCGCATGGCTGCGTTGCTTACGCACAGGGGGAGCATTAGGAGCCGACGTAGGAATTGGTTTTGCAGAGTCTCAAGGGGAGCAAGATCTGTCATCACAGCCCAGAGCGGGGCAGCATAAGCAAGCACGGCAACCACTTTTGCCTTGAACACCTTTAAGGCCGAGGGAACATGCAAAGCTCCATCCACCCTTTCCTGTTCTAGAAGATTGTCACTTCATCCCTCTGAGCTTAATTTCTTCCTTAACTCTTGACTTGTTAAAGGGAGAAACGAAACTCAGAGGGATGACAATCTTCTAAAACAGGTGAGAAACCACTGGAACATGGTCCAAATCTTTGCCAGTTTTGGTTTCTCATAGACAACCTTTTGCCCTGTGCTTTTTGCCTCATGTAAATCACACCCATCTCACCTGGCTGTTTGCCTCATTAAGGAAAACATACATGGTGTTCTGCATTGAGGGGTGAGGGTCAGCCTGAATGATGCCCTGAGCACCTTCCAGTTCTTGGCCTCCTATATCCAGTGAGAGTTAGAATCTAGGAGAGGAGGTTGATGAACCGGTCACACAAGCTTCTTTTTCGTAAGACAATGACCTTAGCTGGCCACTTAAGTGTCCTCATCAGCATCCAAAAGATTGAGGCCGAGAGGCATTTTTTCCTGCTCTGTGCTGGACTGGGGGGCTCCCCTAGCAACCATATGTGGGAGCAAGATGTGTTAATGCTGTGAACACCTCCATCTTATGCTCAAATTATATATGTGTGTCAACAAAATCATCTATCCTGTAGACATCACAGTCTCTGCTGAACTTTGTTCCAAGGAAACCAAACCCTGGAAAAGTTCTGAAACCCCTGGAGACTCTCACTGTCCGGAGATTGGGGTGGCTTGTATGTTTTCTTTAACGGGAGAAAAAGCTGCTGGGGAATGATTTATATTGGGAAAATGGCTGGAGGCAAATTGACTAAGACGCCCTCCCTCAGTCACTGCAGTACCTGGGACTGTTTTAAAAATAAATTTAAAGAGATGTGAGATCTGATCACATAGTTCCAGCATCTCCTCTAGTTCAGCACTGTGTATTAAAAATACATGTATTATTGGCATTATGAATGGAGTCAATGTGTGTAAGTTGCTGCTCTTCCTTTTAAAATACATGAGAGGAGACCACGAGAGAGCTGCCCCCTCCCCTTTGCATGCATCTTAAATTTGGTGGGGGGGCACGTGGGATTGTGATTTGATAGAAGCATAGAGTTGGAAGTGCATAGTATAATGAAACATATGTTCATAGCACGTTTAGTAACATCAGCTTGCATCTGAAAATACTGACAAAATTCTGTTTGCGAATATTCCTCAATAAAGACCTTATGTGTATCTCCTTTTCTTAGGAATTTCCAGATTCTCTGAAAGAACAAACACATCTAAAAGAATGGCATATAAGCAATACTATGATCACAACCATTCCAGCCTACATTGCCTTATTTCAGGAGCTGAGAGTACTAGAATTACCAAGCAACCTGATCACAGAGCTTCCGACTGAAATTGGTAGGTCTCCCGCTCCCCAGACATCACCTTTGTTGTTTATCATCACGTTCTGTGCTGAACTGAAAGGGAGCATGCATTTCCTTCACATTTTTCGCCTCCTGTCAAATGCGCTCTCTCACTTTTAGGTGACTTTTTCCATTTCTTGTTGGGGGGGGGGCAAAGATGCAGTTCATCACAGTCCTGTCCCCTGTTATTTGGGAAGGAGGCAGGAGGACTCTCAGACCCTGTCAGAGCCCTCATGCCTCCTTCCCAAAGCCCATCACTTACTAGGCTTTAGGAAGGAGGCGGGAAGGTACAGTACTAC